AGGTCGGACCCTCCACAAGTTGTCAGAACCAGATTAGGACCATTACAAGTCCAAAAAGGAAAATGACAGAAGAAGAGCAAACTGAACCACCTGCTAAGAAAATAAAAACGGAGATACAGTTGGAGCAAGTCCCTACTACACCTTCGCCTTCATTAGACATCAATAAAGAGTCTAGCAGCCCCAACCCGCTACTTCCCAGTACCAAAAATGATTCAAGGGAGAGAAATCTTAAGAGGAAGGCCGAGGACTTGATTGAACAACCTAGCAAGAAGGTGAAGTTTACTGAGACAGATAATGGGGCAGATTCCCAAGAATCCAAGTTTCTGGAAAAATATGCTGAGCTTCATAAACTGGGAGAAGGAGCCTTTGGGTCTGTGTTTGCAGGCTATCGCCGGGAGGATGAATTACCTGTGGCAATCAAACGCATCCTAAAAAACTATGTGAACTACAACCATAAGGATGAGAATAGCAGAAATATTCCTCTGGAAGTAGCTGTCATGCTCAAACTAAGAGATACAACTGTGCAACAATCGTCCATGGTGTTCCTTCTAGACTGGTACGATCTAGACGAGGAGGTAATTCTAGTAATGGAGAGACCCATGCCTTGTGATAACCTTTCAAACTACCTCACAAAGCAAAAAGCTCCCCTTGAAGAGAAGGATGCCAAGATCATTATAAAACAGCTGGTACAAGCAGCAATTTACCTTCACAACACAAACATCTTCCATGGAGACATTAAATTGGATAATATCCTGATAAGGACAGGCTCAGAGGAGCCACAAGTCTACCTCATAGACTTTGGGTTAAGCTGCTTTGTTGAAAGAAAACCTAATCAAGCTTTAGGCAGTTTTTCTGATGACCTCCCAATGGACTGGTTTAGTCAAGTCAACCACAATGCTGAACCCACAACAGTATGGCAGCTGGGAGAAGTCCTGTTCCAATTAGTCCACAACAAGGTCCTGGACACAAACGAATTTGAGATTAGCGAAACGCTTTCAGAGAATTGCCAAGATTTTCTGACAAAGGCTCTGATGATTGACGCCGAGGATTGGCCCCCATTGGAAGATCTGCTGGGTCACCCATGGCTTTTGTAAAACTACACCCCGTTCCAACACTATACACCCAAATACACAGATTTTTTTTTTCTCGTTTTAGTTACAGCAGAGTTTTGACTGGATTGTGGTTGCAAGTGGTTGAAACAACATACATTTTAGGACAAATTTGAGATTTTGGGCTTTTCTCCGGGTGCTCCGGTTTCTTCCTCTCTTGAAAGAAAATGCTTTTTATATTTTTTGGATATTTGTGAGTTTTCTCCAGTTGCACAATGAAATTAGTTGTAGTGTTAAAAGCTTTGATACAGTCTGCTGGGTTTCCTTAAACAACAGAAAATAAGGTTTATACCCAAGTAAAACCATATTATTGAAATAAATTTTTAATGTAGGGGGAAAAAAACTTAACAATTCCTCAAGTAGGAGTAAAAAGGTATTTTGAACCAATGTAACTAATTGTATTTTATTCTTAACAGAAGCTACCTTATCAGAAATTTAAATATTTTCTTTCCACAACTTAAAACCTTTGATAAAAACTCTTGCAGTTAATAAACTGTATATGTATATGCGGGGAATTGGCTCAAATGGTAGAGCGTTTGCTTCGTGTGGAAGAGGAAGGGGTAGGGCTGGGTATTGTTCAAAAATTTTCGGTTCCGGTACCAATACCGATACCTTCACTTCGATACCGGTTTCTGAACGATACTTTTTTCGATACCAGTTTTATAATATCAATTCGAAAAAAAAAGAAAATTACACAACATAAAAAAAGTACAAATCTTGAGTTTTATTTTAAGCTCTGATTTTTCCATTTACATTTTTCCTCTTACCGTATTTTCACGACCATAAGGCGCACCGTACTAAAAGGCGCACTCTCAGTTATGTGTCCCATTTCTGTATTTAACACACATATAAGGCGCACCGGACTATAGGGCGCGTTTTTTATATACAGGTACATGTCCTCTACTACCTTTAAATACCTCTACTGCGTATTTAAAAATACAGCGGGGGCAAAACTGAGTATGACTGTGCTTTATTCATGTATTTATTACAAAGTATTAATCAAACCTGGGTGCTGGCCGTGAGACAGACATATCGCAGATGACACAGCGCTGTGATCACTCTTAAATTAACTTAAAATCCTGAAACCTGCCGACGGAATTTGTTCGCTTTTATTACCGGTATCCTGGTGCCTGCAGCTAAAATTATTTAGATGAAAAACACCTGCCAGCAGCCGCGGTGAACCTGGAGGCTGCCCAGCCTAGAGGCTGCTGATGAAAGGATTTCTGCTGTCGGTGTACCGCTGGTATGTGGGGGTCTGAGCGCCTCCGACAGAAATAGATAATCTGGATGAACTGACTGCAATTATGAAGTTTTCAGGTGTATTTTCTCACTTAAAAACATATTAAAACTACTTTATTCCCACTGATCACAGCAAATATAGCTGCAAGATTTAGATTATTTAGATGAAAAAACACCTGCCAGCCACCGCGGTGAAGAGGAGGAGACCCGGCCCAGAGGCTGCTGTTGAATTAAGTTTTCAGGTAGAAAAATAGAGCGGGAGCAAAACTGAGTATGTTTGTGCTTTATTAATGTATTTATTACAAAGTATTAATCAAACCCATCAAAGTCATCATCCTCTGTTTCTGAATTAAACAGCTGCGCTAAATCAGACATGCCAGTTTCCCCTTCTGCGCTGTCAGAGTCACTTTCCGTGCCGGGCGGCTCCTCAGAAATAATGCCGGCTTTTGCGAAAGCTTGCACAACAGAGCCAGCAGACACGTTAACCCAAGCATCTACAATCCATCCGCAAACGGTGGCGTAACTTGCCCGGCGCTGCCTTCCACTTATCGGGAAACTGTGGTCTCCGTCTGTCATCCATCACTCCCACGCCGCTCGCAGCCTTACTTTGAACGGCCGCTTCACACCGATGTCGAGCGGTTGAAGTTCCTTTGTAAGACCCCCGAGATAACGGTGAGCACAGCGTTTATTTTTTTTCACCATGTTTTTCACATCAGCTGTGAGATGGGCAAGCATGGAGTCACATATTAAAAGCGATGGTGATGCGTGGAAAAAAACCACCTGGTCTCCTCACATAGCCTACACCTCCCTCAGCCACGCTTTCATCATCTCCTCATCCATCCAGCCCTTTCATTTGCTTTAAATTTTAGACTGTGCTGTCTGTTTGAATTTATTATTTAAAAATATGATTTGTTTAGAATTTTTTGGTGAGAAGGCTTTTTGAATAGTTTGATGGGTAGTTTTGAATTGGTTTAAGTAGTTTTGGGGGGGGTTCTGGTTGGGTGGCCTGCACGGGATGGTCCGGCCCGTGTGCGGGGGGCCGGGCTCGAAGCAGGAATGATGAGATGGGTTGGTGTGGTGGTGTCGCCGCTCCCCTCTCCCCCATCCGGATTTTAGGTTCACTTATTGGGTTATCCGATAATCCCGGTACCAAACGCCGGTGCCGCCAGGTCTTTGGTCCTGGTATTATTGGATGTGAGTTTTTTTTTTTTCTGTGGTGTGAGTGGGGGCACAAGGGAGGGAATGCGTGATTACGATTGTGAGTTTTTTGTGGTGTTTTTCTCCCAGTTTGGGGTCTGAACTGCCCAATCTCCCAAACACATCTCAAGTCTCCGCTAAGTGCGGAGCCCATTCCCCCCGTTCTGCTCTCCCTCCGCTGGCTGGCGTTGGGGCTCGTCAGTGCACTGGTGGAGCTTGGTGTTTGGAGGTGGATGCCCGGATGGCTACTGGCTCATTCCTGGCGGCCAGGCCCCCCGCAGCGCTGGCATTGCGGTGGCTGGGGGGCTTCCTCTGGGATGTCTCTCCTCCTCCCTTGGTGGGGTTATGATTTCCTGGGCTGGCCCCTCCTTGGTGCCTTCGCTCTTGGGGTCCCTTTGGGCGTCTGGAGCTTTGGGTCTCCCGGCGCTGGACTCAGTGCTCTGGGGGGTGTGCCTCTTCGGCTCTCCACAACCACTATTGAGCATTTTCTCTATGGATAAACTTTACATGCACAAGTGCACCCTAACAAACAATTACAGGTGCTTGGTTCTAGGTACCCAGAGATTCACTTCCATACAGAAAGCCCACATTCATATCTTCAGGTAACACAGAGTACATGTCAGACTTAATAATACTACTTCAGTGATAGTTTTAAGGTGTTGCTTTATTGTATGTCTCGTACCATGTCAATCTCGTTGCAGGTGATGAAGCAGACTAAAAATGTTTTGTCATTGTCTCCTTTCTATCTCCTCTTTCTTTCATCTTTTCTCTTTTTTTTTCCTTTTTCTTCTTTTGTTTTTCTGCTCTATTTACATTGCAGTGTCCATATAAACTGTAAAACTCCCTGCATAATTATAATAAAGCAATTTATATGCATGAAACAAGTGAAGATATTTGGCAATTGCCATACTGCTACACTTGTGAAAGAAAAATCTGTCTGGCTCTTTTTGGCATCAAGACAATTATTCTTATTGCCACATTGCCAGACAGGACACTGTTAAAAAAAAAAGAAAAAAAAAAAAAAAGAAGAAAAAAAAGAAAAAAGAAAAAAGAAAAGAAAAAAAAGGTGGGCGGGTCTCTAGAACATTCTAAAATGATGTCATCAGAATGTCTTTTATGACATCACAGATGCATTTAAAAGGAAACATTCTAACTGGACCTCAGACTGAGATATTTCTGACATAGACACAGGCTGCTCACACTTGTACGACAACAAATTCAATGACAAAGATGGTCAAGCAATCTATAATGAGCTTAATAGATTCAGCCGTCAGAACACAACAAGATAGCAACGGTGTCATAACACCAAAAAGGTCAGGGTCTTGTAAAAATAGTGGACCTCATAACGTGGCGGAAGAGGAGACCCCCAGAAAAAAGATCAAGATCTCTGAAGAGGTCGGACCCTCCACAAGTTGTCAGAACCAGATTAGGACCATTACAAGTCCAAAAAGGAAAATGACAGAAGAAGAGCAAACTGAACCACCTGCTAAGAAAATAAAAACGGAGATACAGTTGGAGCAAGTCCCTACTACACCTTCGCCTTCATTGGACATCAATAAAGAGTCTAGCAGCCCCAACCCGCTACTTCCCAGTACCAAAAATGATTCAAGGGAGAGAAATCTTAAGAGGAAGGCCGAGGACTTGATTGAACAACCTAGCAAGAAGGTGAAGTTTACTGAGACAGATAATGGGGCAATTTCCCAAGAATCCAAGTTTCTGGAAAAATATGCTGAGCTTCATAAACTGGGAGAAGGAGCCTTTGGGTCTGTGTTTGCAGGCTATCGCCGGGAGGATGAATTACCTGTGGCAATCAAACGCATCCTAAAAAACTATGTGAACTACAACCATAAGGATGAGAATAGCAGAAATATTCCTCTGGAAGTAGCTGTCATGCTCAAACTAAGAGATACAACTGTGCAACAATCCACCATGGTGTTCCTTCTAGACTGGTACGATCTAGACGAGGAGGTAATTCTAGTAATGGAGAGACCCATGCCTTGTGATAACCTTTCAAACTACCTCACAAAGCAAAAAGCTCCCCTTGAAGAGAAGGATGCCAAGATCATTATAAAACAGCTGGTACAAGCAGCAATTTACCTCCACAACACAAACATCTTCCATGGAGACATTAAATTGGATAATATCCTGATAAGGACAGGCTCAGAGGAGCCACAAGTCTACCTCATAGACTTTGGGTTAAGCTGCTTTGTTGAAAGAAAACCTAATCAAGCTTTAGGCAGTTTTTCTGATGACCTCCCAATGGACTGGTTTAGTCAAGTCAACCACAATGCTGAACCCACAACAGTATGGCAGCTGGGAGAAGTCCTGTTCCAATTAGTCCACAACAAGGTCCTGGACACAAACGAATTTGAGATTAGCGAAACGCTTTCAGAGAATTGCCAAGATTTTCTGACAAAGGCTCTGATGATTGACGCCGAGGATTGGCCCCCATTGGAAGATCTGCTGGGTCACCCATGGCTTTTGTAAAACTACACCCCGTTCCAACACAATACACCCAAATACACAGATTTTTTTTTTCTCGTTTTAGTTACAGCAGAGTTTTGACTGGATTGTGGTTGCAAGTGGTTGAAACAACATACATTTTAGAACAAATTTGAGATTTTGGGCTTTTCTCCGGGTGCTCCGGTTTCTTCCTCTCTTGAAAGAAAATGCTTTTTATATTTTTTGGATATTTGTGAGTTTTCTCCAGTTGCACAAAGAAATTAGTTGTAGTGTTAAAAGCTTTGATACAGTCTGCTGGGTTTCCTTAAACAACAGAAAATAAGGTTTATACCCAAGTAAAACCATATTATTGAAATAAATTTTTAATGTAGGGGGAAAAAAACTTAACAATTCCTCAAGTAGGAGTAAAAAGGTATTTTGAACCAATGTAACTAATTGTATTTTATTCTTAACAGAAGCTACCTTATCAGAAATTTAAATATTTTCTTTCCACAACTTAAAACCTTTGATAAAAACTCTTGAAGTTAATAAACTGTATATGTATATGCGGGGAATTGGCTCAAATGGTAGAGCGTTTGCCTCGTGTGGAAGAGGAAGGGGTAGGGCTGGGTATTCAAAAATTTTCGGTTCCGGTACCAATACAGATACCTTCACTTCGATACCGGTTTCTGAACGATACTTTTTTCGATACCAGTTTTATAATATCAATTCGAAAAAAAAAGAAAATTACACAACATAAAAAAAGTACAAACCCTGAGTTTTATTTTAAGCTCTGATTTTTCCATTTACATTTTTCCTCTTACCGTATTTTCACGACCATAAGGTGCACCGTACTAAAAGGCGCACTCTCAGTTATGTGTCCCATTTCTGTATTTAACACACACATAAGGCGCACCGGACTATAGGGGCGCGTTTTTTATATACAGGTACATGTCCTCTACTACCTTTAAATACCTCTACTGCGTATTTAAAAATACAGCAGGGGCAAAACTGAGTATGACTGTGCTTTATTCATGTATTTATTACAAAGTATTAATCAAACCTGGGTGCTGGCCGTGAGACAGACACATCGCAGATGACAGGGCGCTGTGATCACTCTTAAATTAACTTAAAATCTTGAAACCTGCCGACGGAATTTGTTCGCTTTTATTACCGGTATCCTGGTGCCTGCAGCTAAAATTATTTAGATGAAAAACACCTGCCAGCAGCCGCCGGTGAACCTGGAGGCTGCCCAGCCTAGAGGCTGCTGATGAAAGGATTTCTGCTGTCGGTGTACCGCTGGTATGTGGGGGTCTGAGCGCCTCCGACAGAAATAGATAATCTGGATGAACAGACTGCAATTATGAAGTTTTCAGGTGGACTTTCTCACTTAAAAACATATTAAAACTACTTTATTCCCACTGATCACAGCAAATATAGCTGCAAGATTTAGATTATTTAGATGAAAAAACACCTGCCAGCCACCGTGGTGAAGAGGAGGAGAGCCGGCCCAGAGGCTGCTGTTGAATTAAGTTTTCAGGTAGAAAAATAGAGCGGGAGCAAAACTGAGTATGTTTGTGCTTTATTAATGTATTTATTACAAAGTATTAATCAAACCCATCAAAGTCATCATCCTCTGTTTCTGAATTAAACAGCTGCGCTAAATCAGACATGCCAGTTTCCCCTTCTTCGCTGTCAGAGTCAATTTCCGTGCCGGGCGGCTCCTCAGAAATAATGCCGGCTTTTGCGAAAGCTTGCACAACAGAGCCAGCAGACACGTTAACCCAAGCATCTACAATCCATCCGCAAACGGTGGCGTAATTTGCCCGGCGCTGCCTTCCACTTATCGGGAAACTGTGGTCTCCGTCTGTCATCCATCGCTGCCACGCCGCTCACAGCCTTACTTTGAACGGCCGCTTCACACTGATGTCGAGCAGTTGAAGTTCCTTTGTCAGACCCCCGAGATAACGGTGAGCACAGCGTTTATTTTTTTTTCACCATGTTTTTCACATCAGCTGTGAGATGGGCAAGCATGGAGTCACATATTAAAAGCGATGGTGATGCGTGGAAAAAAAACCACCTGGTCTCCTCACATAGCCTACACCTCCCTCAGCCACGCTTTCATCATCTCCTCATCCATCCAGCCCTTTCATTTGCTTTAAAATCAAATGTCATCAGAGCGATGTGTCTGTCTTGCTGTCAGCTCCCAGATCAGCTTCTCTGATTCGTTGATGCGGCGCGTCCAGCAGCAAAACTTCAATTTTTTCCATCTCGAGCAGCAGCAGCGCGTTGGCGGTGCGCTCCCGACTCGCTCAAAACGCGCTGCGGGACCTTTTGCTGCGTCTATACGCTCGTCAACCGTTGACTTTGCATGTAAACTCGCTGCTTCTGCTGCACCTGCTGCACCTGCTGCGTCCGGTTCACAGCGAGCACAGCATTAATTTGTTTCACCATGTTTTTCACATCAGCTGTGAGATGGGCACGCATGGAGTCAGACTAACAGCGATGGTGTGGTGATGAGTGGAAAAAAAAAACAGCTGGTCTCCTTACATTCAGCCACTCTTTCATCATCTCCTCAATGAGGTGGTCTCAAAAGTCGCAGTTGCAACACACATAGGGCGCACCGCACCATAGGGCGCACCGCACATTTTGAGGGGAAAAAAAGACGTTTATGTGCGCCTTATAGTCGGGAAAATACGGTACATAAAAAAAATTTTCAGTGTCTAATATTCACTGTTACATTGTGAGGACCTTTTTACTTAGCAGTTTTCCTTTAGAAAAATTACCATGTCTGACAAACAAGCCCGTTGAATGGGATCCTACTGACAGCGCACCGCTGGTATGTGGGGGTCTGAGCGGCTCCGACAGAAATATTGGAAGGCAGGATGAACTGACTGCACTGATTAAGTTTTCAGGTGGATTTTCCCACTTAAAAACACAATAAAACTACTTTATTCCCACTGATCACAGCAAATATAGCTGCAAGGCAAATAAAGGATAGAGTAACTCCGCCCAACGCGCGTCAGACACACTTTTGCGCCGCGCAGCCAGAGCAGCAATGCTTCTTCAGGCGCGCGTCAGAAACTGGTACAAGCAGCAAAAAATGAAGCAGCAGACGTGATTTTGCTGCTCCTGCTGTCTCCAGTTTGAAAGCAGCATGATTCACTCCGCTCTGGCTTTGCACTTCCCACGGGCTGCTGAGAGGAGGATGGTTACGCCGGCTGCGGCCCGCTCTTCTGCAGTGAAACACCGAGCAACTTTCTGCTCTTAAATTATTTCTGTGCACGATGTATTGCATTGCGCTCTATAGGTGGTCACTCTATAGGAGTGACCACCTGTGTATTTTTCCTGGATGACGCAATCACGTTAAGTGTTACAGCCAATCACCGAAACTTGGTACCGAAAGATGAGGCATGTTTCGATACTCTGTAGAACCGAAGCATTTCGGTCGGTACCATAAAAGTACCGAAGTTCGGTACCCAGCCCTAGGAAGGGGGGTCGATGCCTACATTCTTCATTCAATGTCCTGTCAAGTGACACCACACTTTTAGAAGAGAGTCTCGGCCTACTTGTTCGGGTGTAGAGCTCAGAATCCAGAGGCTCTTTGGTCAGATGTACAAGAGTTTGTGGCAGCTTGCCCGCTTTGCAATCAGTTCAAGACGTCCAGAAGTCCCACATCTGGTTTTCTATGACCTTTACCCATCCCGTCCCGACGATGGCCTAAAATTGCCATGGATTTCATTACCTGGTTAGCCTGTTCTGAAGGTATCACAGTCAACCTCACCATCATTGACAGATTTTCTAAGATGGTCCATTTGGTTCCACTGCCCAAACCCCCTTCCACCAAATAAATGGGGGAAATCCTCACTCTCACCGATAAACAAAGTCTCCAACAGGGGTTCCCCAGTTTAAGTTCCAGTTCTGGAGAGAATTCTGCTGTGGTTGTGGATCTCTGTCAGCCTGTCTTTGGGTTTTCATCCCCAGGCGGACTGTCGGAAAGAGAGGGCCAATCAGTAAATAGAAACCAAGTTACGCATTTTAGGTCAATCTGATCACACTAAGTGGGCCAGCTACTTCATTTATTCATTTTGTTACCAAATTTACATGTGACTTATAATGCTGAACCTGACAGAGAGACAGAAGAAAGAAAAGAAGTGGAAAGGAAAGAGTTCCTTTGGACAGAAACAGAATAAAGACAACAAAAAAAGACAACAAAACCGTACAACCAGCTAATATGTCTGAAAAAAGACCTTGTGGGCTCCTGTAAAAGGGCACAGGGAAACAAAAGAACAAACAAGCAACAAAGGCAACAGCAATAACACTGGTAGAAGTGACAGTGAGCTTCTCAGAATTATGCAGCAACTGTACAGAAGCTTATGGTCCCGTATGTCTGAGTAACTGCCTGTGTGTGTGTGTGTGTGTGTGTGTGTGTGTGTGTGTGTGTGTGTGTGTGTGTAAAAGAATGAGAACCCGCTGCACTGATTTTCCAGATTGTACTCAGTTATGGTGCAGAGGGGCCACCAGTTGAAATCCCAACCTCCCGGTGGCCGTCCGCCTCCAGCTCCCTCATTCCATGAAGATCCATACTACTTTTCATGTGTAAGTGTTAAACCTGCAGTCACTTCTAGCTTTGGTAAGAGTTCTCTAGCTTAACTGATTGCGTTTTGATTGCCTAATCCTGACCCATTTTGTTTTTGGACATCTGAGCCTGCCTGTTCCTGTTCTGATCTGTTTGCCTGACCAGTCTTCAGACTCCTGCTTGATTCTACCATTTGACTGAACCTGGATCTGCTTCCTGACACCGACATCGTCCTTCTGTACCTCTTCGAATTTCTGATCTTCTCGCTTGGACTCCTGTGAACCTCTTCGACACTGGCTTTGGCTCCTACTTCTGGATAGTCCTACCTTCCTTCGACTGCTTGGATCTGTTCGTTATCATCTGGGACTCTCTGGGAAGTGTCTGCCATGTGATGTTGTCAGCCAGTCAGGCTAGAATCTACCTCTTTCTATGGATACAGAGTTAACTTTAAGACCAGGTTAGTGCC